GCTTAAAGTAAAACTTTGTTTTTGGAAATATGCTTATTTGCTTACTTGGCAAGACTTAGATACAAAGTTCAATACCACTCTCATGTCTGTGAGTTAAATATGTAGCTAGAGTTCAAAAGCCAATAAGTCAAAAAGGATGGCTGCCATAATGTTGAACTATTTCAAGGTCTGGAAAACATTATTATCATGGTTAAAAGAAACAAATGAGACCGTAGTCAACTATGTCAAAGTTCTTCACTTTACTGACCCAACTATCCATGAGATTTTGTGATGATATAATAATGTCATGTTACCTCACAGCTAAGGTCATTTTAAGTGTTGTAACCAATGCAGTCTTTATCTGTTGAGAACAGTCCTGATATATAAGCTATGTGTGTCCATTAGGGACACATCAGTGCACGCATGGCTGCAGACAAGCTGCAGCAAGGTGGGGCCGCACCTCTACTTTATGAGAATGTGAACATGAGTAGATTGGGGAATTCAGACAACATGCCAGGGATGCCTGGGCAGGTATGTGGGATTTTATGCAGCCTGCTTCCTCATTCACCCCCATCCTCCTTCTCTCTCACCCGTAACACACTTTTATACTGATGGGAAAGAGGGGAAGATCTGCGAGGCTGATAGCTGCATGAAAAGAAATGGCAGCGGTGTCTGGGAGATGCATCCTTCGTCATCTCCTTGCAGATACAGTCCCTTATGTCCCTTTGAGGATGACCCAGGAAAACCACCTTAAGGTACAAAGCTTTGCCCAAAGGCCACATACCTTGGCTGCAGTACAGAGCAGAGCGAAGGGTGACCACAGTGCAGAGGAATCAAAATCAACAGGTGGACAGACTACAGGCTTAGTTTACCAGTAGATGCCATTTATATTCTGTGGCAGTAGTAAGAACAATTTTTCAACAAAAAAGATCTTCAACAAACTGAAGAATATTCCACATGCCATACTAAAAAGAAAGAAAATAGCTTTGTCTCCCTGTGTATCTGGTAGTGATTACAAAGACCTTGCTGGGAAACTCGTTGATGTACACCAGATCCTGTAGTCGTTGTAGGGAGAGGACACTTGTGCCCTATCATTGCTGAATTTACCAGCAGGTTATATAGTCGACCGTTTAACACGATGTCAAGGCCGTGTTTTGTTTTGTAACATTTTTCTTGGCTTCGGAGGCACGGGGAATTTAGGCCGGGCTGACACAGGAATGCTTCTGAGAAAACGATTTTGTGCTGACAATAGAGCATATGAGCGCTTCAACATGGACTGTTATCATACCTTACTCCTTATCTCACCACGCCACAGGCATTATTTCAAAGAAAATGTGTTTTAGCATGTCTCGCCTCGCAAAGATGTAATATTTCTCCCGAGTGCAAGATTGCCACTTCATTTTCACAGATTAAAATGGCAAGATGAATAGAGTTAATAGACAGTATAACTATGATAGAGTAATTGTATTTTAGCTAAAAGGACATGTAGTCTTTATGAAGGCTTTAAATGTGCTTTTGAACGAGTCCCATGAGCTGTAGATGTTAGGAAATTCTTGTGACAAGCAGTCCTAACTCGCAATCCCACCCAGTATGTCTCAATCATATGATCTCCTACAATGCAATTTTATATAGTTTAATTAAGCGGCTGCAAACAAAAAGGGTGCTGTGATGATGCTAAGCATGTGCATAAACGCACCACCCACTGATTGTTTTTTTTGCCTTGGCCAGGCCTTGCTTCTTAGATACCAGAACAGTACAATTAGTTATCAGAAATATGCAGACGTCCATGAAAAGATTTCTTCCTTTTCATATAATTTTCATCAAACACAGCCAAGCATCTTTTCCATTATGCATGAGTGGTCTCTTATGAGCGGTTAACTTTGGAAAAATGAGGCAAGAACGGTGTGTTTTAATATGGTTGTTTAAAGATTTTTCAAAGTTGCCCAAACCACAATTGGATATAATTTGCGAGGTGCAAATTTTCAGATACAAGATAATTATTCTGTTTTGCATGTGTTTCACACAGTTTATTTTGATACATTAGTCATGTCATTGCTGCTTCTCAAATTGAAAATGATCTTGTTATATGTGTTTGTTAATATTCAGTTTTGATCAAAAGTTGAGTTTTTTGGGGGGGGTTTTCATGATATGTGATCATTCAGGTCATTTTTGTCAGGATGAAATTAAGTCTGCTCCAAAAGTGATAGATATTGATCCCAGTGATCCTAAATCGAAAACCAAAACTAGAAGAGAGGGATAAAAATGACAGGCTTTCAGACGCTCAATGTGAGTTGCAGTCAACTGATAATGTGTTTTGATGAATGTTTATTTGTAACGGGTTATCTGTCTCGTCTGTCTCATCTATGTCTGTCTGTCTGACCACTCTCATTGAACTTTTCTGTGACCTAACCGCTGTCGGATTTGTTACAGCCAGTCGCCAATTTGAGTGCAGAGATGATAAATGTGGGATGTCAGCTGGTGATGTCTGGTGTCCCTGAAGCTCCAGTATTGTTCAACCGCTGGGCCTGCCAGAGCAGCTAGCTGGTTGAGCATGTGACGGACAAGCAGACAAGGGTGGAAAACAAGACGGGAAAGAATGGAGTTTTAGGATGTTCTCTGTGCGTGTATGTGTTGACTGTTTTTTTGCATGTTCTCTGCTCTAGGGCTGGTTGATAGGGTTGAAAATATCAAGTTAAGTTGTGACCCTTGATTTGTTGACACCCTTTGTTACTGGTGGTTCAGCAAAAACTTTTCAGCAACAACTTTACTAACTATTGTATCTGATTACAGTTTTTCCTAAAGACAGATCAGTCAGTAATTGGCCAGTTTTCATCATACTGAGCAACCACGATGTGATTTCATGTTCTGCACAAAGAAAGTAGTTTTTATATAACAGCAGGGTACAGTAAAAGAAGGTGAATGGTTACCTTGCTGAGAAGTTCGAGATGTGCAGCCTGTCGTCTAACTGCTCACTGCAGCTTGTCCTAGCAATATTTAAAACGGATCCACTGTCAAAAATTGCTAAAAATGGCTATACGTTGTTTTGTAGATGCATTTTTGATGAACGATCGCTGTCTGATACATTGTATTTCCTGTGACTGCTTCACAATAAAAGCCAGTTGTTTGTGTTTAATGTGAACTAGCTGCAGTGGCATATGTTGGGTTTGCATTAGCAGTAACTTTATACAGCTGTGACACGGTGTAAAGAGAGCAAACAGTAAACTGTGAGGCTGATATTAATGAGATAAAATTACAAACAGCATGTACTCATCGTTTCCTGTAGGCAAGATGAATTCCACATGGGAATGGTGGACAATGTCAACCACTATAAATAGAGGTTATGATATGATTCTATAAATTTCTGGGTATTTCTAAAAAATAGCATAAAAAATGCAGTTTGATTTAATTGTTTATAAAAATTAAAATATAAAAATGTTCAATTGAAGTATTTTCAATTGAAGAAAATGAAGTAGACAGAAGAAACTGATGAAATACAACTTCATTAACTAATTTTCTTAGTCCTCTCACCACAATATGATTCCACTGAAAGTCCATAAATGCCCATGCCTACTATAATTCTCTGTCCATGAGAGTGGGAACGAGTATTTGCGTTTTTGTTTGGAGGCATCTTATGAGAATTACACGGGTGACAGCCATATCTATTTCTATTTACTACCTTATCCACTCCGCTGCTTGCCAAGATGCTGCACCGTGATGGCAACATTGTACAGTTCCTGAAGGAGCTCAGCACACCGGCAGCTGAGAAGCTTTCTGGCAGAGGATTTGTGTCAGTATTTCAAGATGTGCTATGCAGGTGGAGAACATTGTGCTGTCTTTTATTTCCAGTAAAGTAACAAGACGTTCTATTTCCTCCTGGTCAGAAGTATTTTTCATCATCACTGAGTCTCAGACTTGGCTGAGGAGAACAGTAGGGGCGCTTGTCTGGTCCCATTGAAGTGGAACATGAACAGGTCCTCTTTCTGGTCCTCTAGTTTTCTCTGCAAATAGAACAGCACAAGTGCAGTCTCAACTTTCTCAAGCTCCACTTTCCCAAACGTAGTTTGAAAGAGAGCAAGAGAAACAGAGAGACCTCCTATCAGATTCTCTAACAGCTTGGGAGGTAATGAGAGGACCGGGAGAAAAAGCTGCTTTCCGTACACCAGATCTCCACTTATCTCCCATCACACCCCGAGCGTAACTTAAACTCACACTCACACAACAGTGATCTGCCCTGAGCAGTATGTGAGCCATTTGAGCGAAGTTTTATTTCAACATAGTTGAAATGGGCGGAAGGATGTGGCAAAGTTTTGTATGAGCCTAGGAGTGGTCGACATCTTCTCTGGTGCAGCTGAAATGGAGATTATAGTGAAGGCAATTGTGTCCGCCACAGCTTGATAGAATTTTTTAAAAAGTGAAGGAAAACCAGGGTGAGACTGCCATGTCCTGAACATTGTCTGCTTTTTGGATTTTTGTAATGGAAGCTGTGTTACTAACAGTGAATTTGACAGATTTTGTGACAACGTTTCAGTCGCCATACAGCATCCAGTGATCTAATGTGTGTCTGTTGCTTCAGTTCTGACTCTTGTGACATTTACTGTATGCCTCCTTGCATTTGTCAAGCCTGTCATAACCAGATTTAGCCTGTCCAGAACCCCATAATGGCCGGATGTAACTGAAGGGCTAAAGAGAAAACAAAAAACAAACTGCCTATGTAAATAAATTTTAGGAGAGTCTGAGGGAAGATGTGGAACATCATTATCATACTATCAAGCCATCAACATTGGCATACTGTGTGAGCATGTGTGTGTGAAGATTACCTCTAGTACAGAAATAATGAAAGAACTTTGGCAAACCAAAGTGCCTCTCTGTGGCAAAAATAAGCAGCCTACACAAACCTCTCGTGACCATGTCTGTGGTTTGTTTCCCAACTTTATTGTGTGTTTTTCTACTACAGTATTCTAGCCTAGGAACACTGCTTGAAGAAAATTGTTTATTTATCTACTCTTTTCGCCTCTTTATAGAGTTAAAGTCCACCGGCACCGCCCACCACTTCTCCTTTTTGCTGAACTCGACCGACTATCGGATCCTTCGCATGGATGAGGACCACGACCGCATGTATGTGGGCAGCAAAGATTATATCCTGTCTCTGGATTTGCACGACATCAACAAGGAGCCGCTCATAGTAAGAAACCATCCCACACAAACAATAATCCTGACTGAGCTCCACACAAGTTTATATCTAACCAGTTTGTTGATCTCTCTGTGATAGATCCACTGGCCTGTTGCCCTCCAGAGGAAAACTGAATGTGTCCTGTCAGGGAAAGACACCAATGTAAGTATTCAAATAACATGCTATAAAATGAAGAGGAGAGCTCATACAATTTGATTATTAGTTAATCAGTCAATTGACAGATAATTAATTTTCAAACATTTTTGACAAGTTAATAATTATCAAAACCAAAAATATCAAACATTTCCTGGTTCTAGCTTCTGAAATAGGATGTAATTCTTATCTCTGTTCTGTTTCATGAACTTTGCTATAGCGCCTAATGTTTGTAGGTGACAAACAACAGATAACAATTGTTATAATGTCTTATGGAAGCATTATTTGTTTTATAAATGTATGCACAAGTCATTATAGCGATGACCTTTATTGAAAGTGTTACCTCTGTTTTATATTATTAGTGTTATCGATGTGTTAATGTTTTAGCCTTTAAAGATGTCACATTTGGCTCTAGGAGATTGTATTGCATGGTTTATTTTTACTATTTTCATTTTATGGACTTCAACAATTAGTCTACTAGTCTAAGATAATGGATTAATCAATAATAAAAGCAGAGTTGCAGCCCTAATTTAAAGTCCCATGCTGGTGAACCACAAGCCTTTAAAGTAATTCTTTAACCATCGGACCACGTACTGCAGGAGAACAGAACCATGATGTACCAGCTGATAAAAGACCTTTTCACCTGCTGCACATTTTATCATTTTATGCGGGGAGACCCCTTATGTAAAATTTATGCGTCTGTTTTTAGCGCGTCTTTTGGCGACGCTTAGGATTTGAATATGGCACTGGGGTCAGCGGAGGACATTTTAAAGGACTCCTTCCAGTGTGTGACTTGTTGTGAAGCTCTTATTTACTGTCTCTGCATCCCTGATTGCTGATTGCATACAGCTGCCACCAATTTAGTTCCAGCGGGAACTTGGAACGGGAATATTCAGTCGTCTTCATTGAGAGCTGAAAACATATTCCATGCACTAGCCCACATATCTCATACATATTCTAGATATTTCTTTTTTTTTTTCATAATCTAATTTTCTTTTTTGCACACTAATTATTTTACCCTGTGTTGTCCAGACGGGCAGACAAAAATGAATTAGCCGCTGGAAGCCAGAGGCCTGTCTGAAGTGTTAATATGATTCAGACATTCAAACACAGCTGCCGCCACCACAAGGAAACTCATCATTGAAATTCATCTAAAAACCAGATCCTTCTCTTTTGATTTTGTTCACATATTCTGACACCCCCCGCCCCCAACCCCCTGACACACGCACACATACACACTCATCTCACCCATGTTAGGGGAGCGCTGGCAGGAGCCGATGATGAGGCTAATAACCCTGCTCTCCCCTGCTGGTAGAGAGCGCAGGCTGCTGTTTATCCAACTGGAATGTTCATTTACGTGTGTTTGGTGACCCGCGCCTCTCACCGCCTCTGGCTACATCATATTGGCCTATGTATGTTCGTGTGTGCGTGTATGAGCCTCCGAGTGTGTGTGTGTGTGTGTGTGTGTGTGTGTGTGTGTGTGTGTGTCAAATGTGGGTTTGAAATTTAATCGCTAAAATAAGAAATAAAATTGGCTACCGGGAGAAATCTTGGCAAACAGTGGCCACTCTTTAGGGAATGACAGATGATGACAATTCAAAAGCAATTCAGTGGGGATGTCGGTTCAGGCAGGGGGTCAAAGGCAATCATCCCCACTGTGCTCTCTGTGGGGGAGCACAACTGTGCGCTGAATAATACACACAGGCCCACATGCGTAAACACACACTCAAAAACACGTCCTCTCAAACCTCTGACTCGTGCATCTGTCGTGTTGCTAAGATCTGCCAAAATAGCTCATCCCCCATCCTCCATACAATCCTATATTTTTTTATGCTTGGTGTACATCCTTTCTTTTTCGCCAGCTGTCACTAGCAACCGACATGACGGACAAATCTGAACAGACATTTTCGGCCTGTACTTTTCTGTTGTTGTTGGAGTTTTGATTTGGGTGGATTGAGACCAGGAAGGCAGACAGCTGGTTAGACAAATAGAGATTAGAAAGCTGCAGACCACGACAGCACAGAGCGGCTTTCACCAGCAGTACCTCTTTTGTCTGCACTCCAAAACGAAAAGTGTTGTGCTCATCTAAAAGTCTTACCACTTAAATAATTCAAATTCAAAATAAACCACATTGATTTTGGGATTTTAAAACACTCACAACAAGCATGTTAATTGTCAAAAAAACCCTAATTGGATTTTAAAAATCTCCTTCCTAAACCAAGATTTTCATTCAGCAGTGTTGTTTAGTCTAACCAAAATGTTTTTCAGTTGAGAAGTCTGACAGAATATTGAATTGGTTTTACCCTCAATCCCATAGCTAACACACTTCACAGCTTAGATGCATTGCTTTTCTTGGTTTCTGCCACACAGTTATATGGTGTTTGGAAACATTTTTCCCTCTGACAGTGTGGTCTGATCTAAAGCCCAGGCCAGGCCGACACACAGAGCCAGGGAACAGAGCTGCCAAACGCAAGCCAGCCAACAGCGGAAATGATAGATGTGATGGTTTTAAGCCAGGCATTGGGGTTATTAACCATCAGTTGGGCATTATGTATTATGTAACCATTTTTTTTCGTTGCATTTTCATGATCAGAAATCTTTTTTGTTAACCTAAGTCCCTAATCCTGTTTGGATTTCTTTTGCTCTCCCTCAGGGGGAATGTGGAAACTTCATACGTCTGATTGAGCCTTGGAACCGGACCCACCTGTATGTGTGTGGAACAGGCGCATACAACCCCATCTGCACCTACGTGGACCGAGGACGCAGGTCGCAGGTAACCAAAGACACAGCCGGGCAGCCGTGGAGACATTTTGACCTTCACTCTCCACTTCTTTCAAGAACCGTATCTGTCAATCAATCTCGGGTCAGAGAACATCCTTCTGCTCTTGCTCCTCAGTTTCATGGGCTCTGCTTCTCTTCCTTCATTTTCTGCCTCTTCATCAATTCGTGCTGTTTCACGGTCTGGAAGACTCAAAGAATAAAGCTCATGGCCAGTCCTCTTTAGATCTCTATTATAATTGCAAAATTGCTGTTGGTGAGGTACCTAACTACCGCCGCTTAGAGATCGTTGAGGCACCAATCTTCTCTTACCGCTGGGAATAGCACGTTGACAGTATATCTATAGCAAATACCTTGTAGTCCCCCCCACCTGTTTATTCACAGCAGAGTCTGTGGCCTGTCTTTCTCCCTGCCTGAGAGCCTCTGAAAGGCCATCATTACTGATGGAGCTTCTCATCCATCATCAGCCTTGTAGCTCACCCCTCCCTCCTTCCCTTCCTCCATCCCTCCCTCGCTCCAGCACGATGGCCACGCAGAGCTGCAGCAGCTGCCGGCCAAGCTACAGTCCATACACTTACATTCACCACTCTGCCTGTTTAGTCTCACTGTTCAAATGGAGGGTTCAGATTTCAATGTAAAGGTCAGTCCGCCTCTCATGTCATTCAGCTTCTCCCCAAAGGCCCAAATGCTATGTTACTTCACACTGTAAAGATTTTTGTCAGCAAGAGTAGCTGTAAACAGACACCAATTGTTCAGATATTCATCCGGTTGGCACGCGGAGGACTTCACACTATTTTAGTCCTTAGTTGACTCTCAACTTGGGTCAACGAGAATTTTACATCGAGACTGTTTAGTTTACAAGTGAGATTCTCTCATGTATGTTGAAGATTAAGAGTAATAGCAATAAGAAATCATCTTTATTCCTATATTTGTTTTAATAATTTCTTCCTTCACTTTATTTGATACTGCTGGATGTAATGTATTTTTTCAAGTGTTGCTTGTCTCATTTTGTTGCATTTCCTGTTTTCTTTCCTGGCGCTGCATGGTTTATGCCTGGAGTTTGCAGCTGTGTTTGCTTGCATGACACTGAGTCTAATCCAACACTGTTACTAAATAATGAATGTCACCCACCGGGCTCTCTTTGACCTCCACTTTGACACGTTTCTTTCCATTTTTTTTTTTTTTTTGAAATGTTGGTCTTCCACAAGTCTACTTGTTTTTCCGGTCCTTCATTTTGGCACTATTTTCCTCTTCTGTTTATGTCATGGTCATGATCAGGTTAAATCATCAGGTTAAATTCACTTTGTTCTGGGCTGTCGTATGTCGTAATGAGATGGCCCACTGTGCCATGTCTCTGTTTTAGGGGTCCCACTACCTACAGGCACCCCAATCTGGAGGGAGAACAAGTCGGGCAGCAGACTACAGCACTACATCAGATTCTTTGGAAGCGAAGGTGGGCTGAAGGGAGTTTTTCTAAAGGCTCTTAAGTTTGGTGCCCACATGGACTACTTTTTCAGTCTCAGTTGGAGTAATTGGGATAACACAGATATCCAAAAAGAAACTGGTTTTCAAAGCAACAAAAGAGATTGCTGAACTGCTGAATATCTTAAAACTTCTACTATCAAAATATGAACTGTGAATATGTTTTTTTGCAAACCCTTCCCTCCAACAGCACTCAACACAAAAAAATGCTTTGTAAATGTGCCATTCTCATGCCAATGAAGCCTTTAGGGGCCCTGAAAACACATTTTCTTCATCAGAACAATTTTAGTTTTGTGTCACCTCCTTCTGTGCACCAATCAATGTTGAGCAACATCAACAGACCTCTCAAAGAAAGCTGATGTTTTTGACTGTTAAACTCTTCTTTTAAAGTAGAATATTTTTGTTATTGATGCTTAATATTGCAGATACTAATTATAATAATTTGACAACTGTGGGGTTTTTTTTGTTTTTGTTTTTTTTTAAGAATACAATATTAAATCTTTCAGTCAAATATGCAAACTTGAACATAGTGGTTTTAGACCTCCAAAGGCTGATTTATTGTTCTTTCCAAATGGTAGTTTTCACACGCATATTTTTGAGTCATACTTTATGTTGTTCCTGAAATGATAACAAAGAACGGGTTACAAGCGTAGCTTTGACATTATTCTGCTTTCCCTTACATAGTTTCTACCTGTCAGACATCGTCAGACAGCTTTCAAGTTCCCGACAAAACTCCATGTAGACACATACCCAGTGTTGACACAGATGTTCAAGATGTCCTCTTGCACTGTGGAATAATGAATTCTTGTTTGAGCCACTAACATCAGAAGCATGGTGGATGAGTTTTGGATTGCTCTCAGCATTTTCCTCCACCTCTCCATCTCCCAGATAACTGGCTTTGTCTGCTTTTTGTTCCTCTCAGCAGATCCAATAGTGCTGTGAGAGTGTCTGCTTTTCAGTGCCTATCGGTCGCAGCTCACACCTCGTCATTGTTATTGTGTCTCTAAACTGATCACATTATTAGGTTGATGCTACTGCTTTTAACATCTAAGTAGACTCAAAGTGCCTTTTATATGCTGCATTCAAAGAACAACCCACCCACACATAAAAATTATTCCTTTTAACACAATAGATCTGTACCCAAAAGGGAAGGAAAACAAGACAATTATTAATGATGTTTATCCTTTTTCTTTACCGTTATAGGAATACATTTTCCGGCTTGAACCTGGTAAAGTGGATTCTGGGAAAGGAAAATGTCCCTATGACCCCAAACTTAACAGCGTCTCTGCTTTGATCAGTAAGTCCTTGCTTTTTTTTCTCCTTCATACAGTGTTGTACAGGGAGCTTTAAATAGCTCTGCAATATGTCTTTCTTTAGTCAGTTCAGTTTGTGCATGCTTCAAAAGGATGTGTTTGTAACAACATTAGTTCTGTGAAACTCTACATTATTGAATTTAAATATTTTCTTTCAATTTTTTATAGTGTTTACTTAACACTAGCTGCCCCCACAGTAATAAGCTCCTCTTATTTATAGGGGATGATTTTACATTCCATGTTCTTATTGTGCACTAGATTGCACCAATGGACAGTCTAAGGCTGCAACTAATGATTATTTTCATTATCAATTAATGTGCCGGAATTGTTTTGTATGGGAAATGAAAATAAAAATGCCCACTAAAAGTTTTCTGGTCCCAAGCAAGTTTGTTTACGTTGCTTGTTTTGTCCGACTTACAGTTCAAAACCCACAGACAGTCACTTTACAATCATGCGAGACAGAGAAAATCAGCAAAACCTCACATTTGGAGAAACTGCAACCAGAGAATTTTTGGCCTTTGTGCTAATTATTTCAGCTCTAGGACAGTTTTATCAATATGTTCACTTGTTTTGTCAGACTGATGCGTGTGCTCTTATGTCGATGGGTGGTCTTTTGTTGTCAGCAGCTTACAGGTGCTCAAACACGGCTGTTGATCAGTGACCTCCTGCCCTGTGTGTGTGTGTGTGTGTGTGTGTGTGTGTGTGTGTGTGTGAAAGAGGGAGAGCTACAGATTATCCAGGGCAGAGACTTACCACATTGAAGACAACAGAGGAAGCTGGAATTCCCGTGGTTAAGGCGTTAGGGGTTCTTGTTTACACATACTACCTTTCTTGCCATCTCTCACTTACCTCCTTAAAATATCACCACAGTAGATAACCATAGTATAAACTCTTTTCATGCACCGAAAATGACTTTGTCTGACACCAGACATGATGTATCTGGAACTGGTTTTGTCAAAATTTGGAGTGATGACACTTTAAAAACATTGCAGGCTTTATGCGGAGAGTGTTCTGAATGGCTACAATATCCAGCTTTGATTGACCCCTAACCTCATCACCATGCATCCAGCTGACATGAACTTGTCTGAATCCAGCTGTCCATTGTAATTAAACTGATTGGCCTAATGAGTGTGATATAAGTATGATTGCAATATAATTGTGGGGTCAGTATTTTTAACCCAAACGTGACACTACTGGACTGGGTTTGATGAGATTTTTTAAAACATGATGTATTTTGGCACCGTGCCGTGGTTTTTAAAAGATTACGAAGAAATTATAATCATGCAGAGTGAAAACAAATGACTGCTAATAGCCACATCTGCTGTACGTGCCATCAGTCTGATGCTGATGAAACCCGGTGGGATAATGCAACTTTATAATGAAGTTTCAATTGGACGTGGTAGACAACGCATTCTTTGCTTTAACCTGAACATTTTTCATCCGTCATGACTTCACCTCTACAACACCCTTCCTTCTTTCTCTGTGACTGACAGATGGAGAGCTGTATGCAGGAGTCTACATTGATTTCATGGGAACAGACTCTGCTATCTTTCGTACACTGGGGAAGCAGACAGCGATGAGGACTGATCAGTACAACTCCAGATGGTTAAACGGTAATATCTCAACTCACGGCTTGTTCTGGAGCCAGCGTTATTTCGTTCACTCATCTCTTTCCCGACCCTTTTTAATTTATTCCTCAATTCTTGAAGTACATTGCGGTTATTTTTCACACAACTTCCCAGATGTTGCTTCAACGCCGCCCTTCACATCGTCCATTCCTAGAGCCATGTTGTCTAGGAATTAGATTGTTGATCTTTCCAGGCTGCTCCACATGACCACACGATCATTTGACTCGAAGCATAAAATGCACTACGCTAATTGTTGACTGCATGCCTGCTGAGCCTGACCACAGGGTCGGTAGTGTAGTAGCTGGGGGAAATTACTGAAAGTCAATAGTGACTCAGAGTAGCCTCCACTCTCTAATGATCCGTGATTGTTGACCGTTATAAATGCTGGTCGGGTGCTTTCGGTTGATGTTGCCAAACCAACCGCAGCCTCCCCCAGTGTTGCTGGCTCCCAGATTTTCCTCTGACCCTGTTACCCTGACAACAGTCCCCTGGTAGTGGTATACTGAATCGGGACACCTGAGTCCTGCTAATCAGCCATGTGGAATCCCTCTGAAATTTCCCCTTCCCCCATGACATAGTTCCTGGTTACCCCCCTTGGTTTGTCCTCATTTGGGTCCCTGGTCGGTCACAGCGGGGAGGGGAAACCCTGTGTTGCGTGTCCAGTAGTGACCCAGTAAGTCAGCCAGTGGGAGTGCACTGTAAAGCCATATTGAGCGTTGTCGCTAGGTAGAAATAAAGGGGTGATTTTAGGACAGTTAAAGTGCTCTTCTGGGCTACTATTATTTACAGCAGTAATCATTCTCAATAGACCTCTGCCTCATCCAGTTTCTCTGTCAGAGTTTCAGTGATGTCTGTGGCTGAATCCAAATCTCCACCCTTTAGACTTGGAGACTGAGGGTGTTTGGCTCCGAGATGCCATAATGCTCAGTGAAACAAGACTTTAGACCACACTTGTTTCAGCGGATATGACTTAAAAGGAAGCTCCTGCTCGCTTCCATCATTTGTAAGTGATGGGGGGAGAAAATCCCCAGACCTATCTACATATCAAAGTTTAGCACAAAATGAGGCTTCTGCAGGTATAGGCAGGTAAATCTGCAGTCTTTTCAGTGAGAAACTCCCTGTTTATGTCCTTCTACCACTGATCAGCAAAGAAAACACTAGCATCTGGGGAAACACAAAGAGGAAATTTCAAGCTAAGATGACTGTAACTTTGGAAGATATCTTTTTGATATTTCCAACTCAGACTACTAAAGCCTCATTAGCTTCACCTGTTCAGTGATTTTGAGTGCACTGAACATGGGCAGTGGATTTTGTCCCCAATAATTTCCTTTGGAAGGCATTGACCTCTTAACAGCCAGTATGGAAGGGAGGAATAATTACAGCTACCAGTTTGTCTATCATTTTAAGACAGACTTGAACTTATCTGAACCTATACTTTAAAGGATAACTTGGATTACTTAAATTTTTGACACTTATAATATTATATTCACATCAAAGAATACAAGCATGAAAAGCTGCTAATGCTCTCTCCGTCTCTTCTTTCTTTACTACAGATCCCACATTCGTCCACGCACACCTCATCCCAGACAGCGCTGAGAAGAATGATGACAAGCTCTACTTCTTCTTCCGCGAGAAAGCCTCTGAGATGGGCCAGAGTCCAATGACCCAGTCCAGAATAGGGCGGATCTGCCTGGTAAGTTATCACACCAGTCAGCAAACCTCATGTTGATCATCTCAACTGAAAGGTTTATGTCTCCATAATGATTAGTTATAGCCTGTTGCCCGTTTCTTAGTCTCTTAGAGGAAAGGAAGTTCCCCGTGATCATTAGTAATTGCTGAGCAAGAAACAGTAACACACACCAAGTACCAGGCAGAAAACAAAATACGTTTGGAAAGAATTCTGTTATTTGTGTTCCTCGGCAGAGATAAGATGTAATGCTGTGGCCTGGAGTGTTGTTTTTCACTAACGATGGACAAATAATGGCGTGTCCAAAACTTTCAAAACATCTGTACATGGACTTCATAAAATATGTCTCCAAAAATTCGCCTGTGTTTGCAAGACACATCCTTTAAATATGCAATTTATAAGAAATATAGTGAATGAGACTAAGAGGCTACAGCCATGCTAGTGGCTCTATGAGGTTGTACTGATGCACAGTGGGGCTTTGAGCTAAATGCTTTCATCGGCATGCTAACATGCTCACAGTGACAATGCTAAAGCAGGGATCTTTATCAAGTGTAATGTTTGCCATGTTCACCATCGTAGTTTTGCAGGTATGTAGTTAGTAGTATGTAGCAACAGACTTGATGATGGTGTGAGAAACCTTCTTTAAATTTATTCTCTGGGGATCATGAATATCTGCCTGACAGCTGTCAAGACATTTAACGCTGAATCACAGATGTCAACCTGCTGGTGGTGCTGGATGAAAGGTCAGGTGAAAGTCAGGCTTCATATCTATCTATCGATCTATCTATCTATCGTGTGTACCTGTTTCTGAAGGTTATTAAAACATGTTCCCTTACAACTTTAAAAACACATTTCTTTCCTACATGATGTTATAGTAGATGAAAATGGATATCAAATGTATGTCTTCCAGCTCTGCAAATCCTTTAGACTCCGTAAAAGTTGTTCCATGAATCATTTTCCCACGGCTTTACCTCAGCAGTAGAAGTTGGCTGACCTCCTGTGCAGATGAGCCAAGCTGAAATTCAGAGCTGATCTTTATTCATGCAGGCCCAATAACAACAGACCCTGTGCAGTTAGTTTGGACAGTTGTTTCAGACAGCTGTTGTTCAGACATTGGTCAGACTCTTCCTGTAGATGGATGGATAACTACTGTGTGTCTTTTCCCTGCAGAATGACGACGGTGGACACTGCTGTCTGGTCAACAAGTGGAGCACGTTTCTGAAAGCTCGACTCATCTGCTCAGTCCCTGGAGCTGACGGCATTGAGACACACTTTGATGAATTAAGTGAGTTTGAATTATGATTTCCCAGTTAAAGATTCTCCTTTTCAGCACATCTGTGGGGCTTTCTTTCATCTCTGGACATTGTACAATCCATCCCCTCACCAGGTGTGTCCTATGTCCACTACCTGTTGATTATTTAACTTCAACAGCAAATACCAAAAATTCTTAATGTGGTGTGTTTCCAGATCATATTCCACAACTCAGGGAACATACAGTGCATCTGCTTAGAGTGCTTAGTGTGAAGCACATAATGAATATGTCCATGACCTGAATTGAAAAGCTGGCAGATGGAAAGTGAGAATTCTTACAGGACCGTGTAACTACAATTCAAAGATGGACTTTCTCCAGATGGACTACTTGTTGACAAATTCAGTATCAACAGCTTTCTCATTTGTAGTTCTATTCACATTCTGCCCTCCATTTTCTTTTGCATACTTTTACTACGATGTTATGGTTTTATGGCTTTCAGCATTATCATCTACTCAGATTTTGCTGCAGTGTGTGGGCCAACAGCTCACTGCACTTAGGGACACACTGCCAGGCAAGCTGCAGTTACAGCAGTATGTGTCTACTTATGCACAGCAATGCTGGGAAGAATCCCATGGAAGCTGCAGTTTTAGATTAAGGTATCACTGACTCATGTGTGTTAAGCTTGACATGTTCTGTTCCTTTGAATGTTTAAACTTTGAACTCCTTGTAGTTAATATCCTGAAAGGTAACATCCTTACTGTAAGACTGATCATTCTGCTTTTGGGCACCATCAACATGTTTTGCAGAGCATTTGTAGAATTAGTAAAAAAAATTAAAAAACAAGAGATAGAAGAGCAAATACACACACGCATACAGAGTAATCAAAGTAATGAGCAGCTGGGATCAGTCCGCCCCCCGTGGATCATCCCGGTTTGTCCGTCATTCACATGACTGACAGGATTAAAGAGGGATTTGTACTATACTTGAAATTATAGTGGCTGGTGGTATGAGCAGCAAATCTTTCACTACTTTCCACTGGGAATACAACTCTAATTTCACACAACATTTAATGATAGAAAGTTAAAATTTACCTTGAGCCATCTCATTTTTCCAGCTGTGAAGATGGACTCAAATGAATTGACCCTTTGCTAAGCCACGCCCGAATACACAGCTGGCCAATCAATGTAAAAAGAGTTGTTTTCTAGCTTTTTTTTGGCTGTATTTTTCTAAGATATGGTCAAACGCCATTCTTGGGGCACTTGTAATAGTTACAGTTGCTACCCAGAGATGTTGATAGGAGAAGTACAATTTATTCTCTTTCCAAAACCTGAAAAATGTTGGCTGTGGATTGTTCCTAATGTAATGTTAGTTAGCTAACGCTAGATAACTTCCTACTGAATGTAACATAATAAAGCTCTACTGTTCTGCTTTTTAATGGATGTAATAATCCAGCTGTACAGGAACAGTGTTAATCGTTCATATCGTCGGGGGATGCGGTGGTTCACTTGTACTGTGTGATTGGTAGGCTAAATCTTTAATTTTTTTCATGTCCGTTTGAGTCAGTTTGAAAGCCTGAAGACAACTTTCAAATCTATAATGCAACTGCAAAACTGTCTGCTTCTTTCTGAGATTTCTTTTTCCAACAAATTTGACAATATTTCTCTGGGGAGTGCAGTAATAGACAGTGACAGTGGATGTGCAGTAATGGACAGTAACTCTCCATCAAGTTCAAAGTCCACTGAGAGGCACCTTTTTGAAAAAATTGGAAATAGCAAAATGACTTCATAAAATGAAGATTACCTTTGGCGGAGTACAGCATGTGCATCACGTCCTCATACCTAATTGTCAGAATATCCCAAATCCCAAAACAACATTAGTGACCATTGGAGGGTACCATCGACAAGCTGACCGTCATCGTCATAGTAAAAATAATAAACACATGGTTAACGTTTGTGGAACGGTCGCACTTTGGTTTATCAAAATTAGTTAGGTTTAGGAAAAGAACAGGTTAAAAAAAGTACATTAGTTACATGTTAAGTTATGTAACATGACTTACGCAGTTAAAGTTAAAATAATTCAACGTTGACTTTGGGTTCCACACGGGACACGGTGGTCTACTGGGTGACCTGTATTTTACCCATCCATCCACTGCGGCCTCCCCCTGTGCGGACTTTGTCGTTCTTTATGCTACCTCACCTGGTGTATGTTCAATCTGTGCAACAATTTGCTAAGGTTTTTGAGTTTGAAAGACATGTCTCCTCAAAACTGTGTGAAACAGGCTTTGAGGTACTTTTTCTTTAGTTTAGTGGGTGTGTCAGAGGTGTTCAATCAGCATTTTCTGTATACTTCTTTATTCAGTTGGGATGTTGTCTGCTATTCTGGACGGTAAGAGCAATGACTGTAACGTTGAGTGTATTTTGTAGTGTTAAATACGTATTGAAACAGATTTCATGAGGCTCCAAAAAAATTACAAAGAATTACTTTCTCAGCCGCCATAGTTGCAACGCTTGAGTAACACAACAGGGTACTCAATGTATCACAGTTTCCATTTAAAGAAACATTTTGCGATGTTCAACTCGAGGAGTAGTATGTAGCTGCAGTTTCAGGACCACAATCCTAGGACCGGAAGTGCATTTCTAGGACACTTGTTTACTTTGATACTGCCAGCTAGCTGGCTGGCTATGCTATGTTACTTTTGACAGCCTCCTGAGCCTCTCGCCTACTGATTCTGAACTGTACATAAAACGACCAGCTCCCACCACAACACAGACTCAAACCCCACATAAGGATAAAAACAACAACAAAGGTCATCAGAACATCAGAAAGGCATTTGAGTCATAGAGAGGGCTCTGCTTTGTTTTCATAACCAACCCAGAGTTGGCTTTCATCCTATTGGACAGGTAAACTAACATTAATGCAAAGCATGTGAAATATATTGTGATTTTGTGTTTAAGTTGGCTCAGGTTAGATAACATTAGCTTGTTTTCCGTTGCAAATACTATAGTTGTATCACTTGCCACATTACTTTAGTTTTGCACATTACATTATACACAATACATTACAGCTAATACGATCCATATTACTATCCTGTGTACCACCAGTATTATGTTAAAAGTGTTGATTTTAGCCTGCAAGAAATGATGTAACGGTACAAAGCAAATATGGATTTATTTATTTATACTAGCCTATAGTGATGCAAGGCAGTGCAGCCAGCTACATTAGCACGGATCTGCCGCTGTTTGCTTCACAATGTTCAATTTAGATTTATTGCTATTTTACTGATACTCACACAGCTTCTTCACCGGTCTCAGTGGCTGTAACATACGTGACCCACGTAATATACAATAATGCAACATAACGGTACTAGACAACACCACAGGGGAAGACCCATTCACCACAGTAATGTTACTTACTACGGTCTAACTGTTATTCTAAAGTGTATGGATTAGTTCAACATTAACCTGATTAAAAAATATTACTGTAAGGTTAGTGTGTGAGACCGTCTCTGGTATTTCGGTCTCTGTTTAGACCAACGCCAAGTGCTCGTTTATTAGTTTGAGCATGCACCCTGAAACCTCACCACTAGAGGCCACTGAAAACTACACACAGCCCCTTTAAATGCCAAATAATAACAATAAAATAAAATTAATTTGGAATAACTAAAATGTAATGCACTTTTCTGAGACTTTTGTGTCTCTAAACAAAATGTAATTTTGTTTCATGCATGTAATGTAATTTTGTGGTACTAAATGGAACAAAATTGTATTTCATTCACATTGGTAGAAACTAATGTAGTTATTATGCTGCAAAAGTCAAAAAATCATCCCTAATTATCATAATGAAATGCAGCATGTGACCTATGGGGTGTTTTTGTTTCTCAAGCTGCACTTGTACACGCCACATGGCCACCAACATGCACATACATTCATTTCTCAGTCATAATTGTTTTCATTCAGATTTTGCCCATAAATTGTGACAGTATTAAATAATTCACCTAGTAACTGCATATAAAGCACATCTATGAGCTACATTTGTAGTAACATCTCTTAGTCCCGCTGTGATGAGGCTTTGCAAGTTGCAAATGTATGCTATGCATTAAGAGCACCGTGTTAGTGAGAGAAGAGTACTCTTCTGTATGCGTTGCTCTCCTTTTAGTATATCCACAGCGCGGCAGGTCAGTTGTAGTCTCTGTGCAGATGAGCACTCGTGGTGAGCTCATTGTGAGTCCTGAGCTGCAATGTAACATCCCACAGCTCTGTGGTCGTCGTCCCCACAACCACAGACAGTCTGGTAGAAATGTGTTCTGTCTCCAGTCCTGCTGGTCCTGATGGAGCCCAGCAGAGGCATCAGAGTGGTTATAGGGACTCTGGGGAGAGAGTGGAGTAGATTCAGATGGTGAGACAGAGGCTAACACAAGAGAAAATATTCAGTGTTGTACCATGGGAGAGCAGGAATATAAAGGCAGAGGGAAAAAGACACAGACACAAAAGAGATGAAACTGTTTGCCAGACAAAAATGAGAATGAATGTGTGGGCGATAAAGTTTTATTGCCTTATTTGAAATGTAATTATGGAATCAAACAATGTTTTTTCATTTAGTTATTTTTTATGTGACTGTAGTCCACAAATCCCAAAACCTCTTTACTATATATGAAGACATGGGTCCTTTCTGTTGTTGCTTTTTGTTTGTTTTTCACTTTTCTCTATAATTATTCTAAGTGGACATTTCAACAACACATTGAGGTGACACACTATCTGTAGACAGTCTGTCTTCCATCCAGTCAATATTCACAGGGTGCATCACTCACTTTCTCTTGTTTCAACATTACTTTTAATATTCCCTGTTTTACAGCAGTCAGAGATGTTTCTCTGCTAATGCGATGCTGAGATTGCCTCAAAGACTGTCTGATCTGACACATCAGAAACAAAAAAGTTGCAATGATGCAACTTGTTCCAGATCTCTGATTTTATGTCTTTCCTCTTTCACTGCACTCATTTTGTAGCCAGGAGGCCTGTCAAACTGGCGTCAGATGGGTTATGAATTTCTATTTTGTTTGCCAAAAGTTAATCTTTGCTTTAGTGTGCAGCCATTATCTGTCATTTTCCTTACTTTGGCATGTAAGCAGATCTTTTTTTGTGATCAAAGGAAAGTTTGTTGATTTTGCAACTTTTGTAAAGTCAGAAATGATGTTTTCATACTAGCCATGTGAGTTTAAGCTTCCGCTTGTTCACTTTGTGCACACTAGATAACGCCAAGGGCACAAGGATCAAATGTGTTATTACTTTTCACCATCAATTTCACATGCATAATTGTGGCTTAACATTTTTGTTCTTTTACATGCTACTTGTTACATTCATTCAGGTGACATATAGTAGGTAAATCTGAGACGGTGGCTCTACATTCTTTCTGTGGTGTGCCAGATTAATGTCTTGCTTCTAGCTTCACAGATATCCATGAATAAAGAGCTCAGGTTGTAAAAGAGAGGATAGGATTTCATGCCTCTTTATTGTAATTGGTGTTTTCTAAAGACATTTGACTATAGGTAATTGTTGTCCTTGTCTTTTCAAGGCCATTTAAAACAAGCAATCTGAACCCTTTTCACTAGTTTCCCACTGATGCACAGCATTAAATGGACATATGTATTCAACTGCAGGTGAAGTGTTATTCTACTCAACCTGTCAGCTTAAAATTTAATTTTAAATTATATTTGTTTTCTTCCTTATTGTTTTTCCATGCACTTTTCTCTCATTAAGCCATCAGAGGACACGCAGGGCTCACAACGGCCTCAACCCCACAGTCACTGGATGCATATGGCTCCTATTAAAGTCATGTTTCACCAGAGATCTCTATTTCACTTAAATTCCCTGCTGAGACACAGGAACTGTAGTTTCAGCATTGGAAGAGTTTGGATGCAGGATCTCATTGAGGCTCTGGTAACCACAATTCATGAGGAACTCTCTTTTAACTCCCCCTCCTACAGGGCAAAAAGTCTCCATATGTCACAATTACAATTACTTTAGGTTGGAACTGCGTGGAATCTGGGAACTAATAAAGCCTTGGGATGATTTGATACACAGACACTAATATTTACTCAATATAACGTGTGTTTTCTTTTTGTCTGACCATTCACCATGACAGTTATTGTGCTTCTGTAGAGAGGCTGCCTTTTTTCATCAGTGGTGGAATGTAACTAAGAAAATGTACTCAGTTACTTATAAATATACTTTTGAGGTATTTATTGCTCCATTTGACAGCTTTACCAGTTACTTTGCAGATTAAGTTTTTACATCCAAATCATATGAAATGCTTGTTAAATACAATGTATAATGAAAGATTAAATCAGTGGCTCCCAACCTGTTTTGTTTGGGGCCCCTAACAGAAATAGCTGCGTCTAGATGGGACTCATCTGCACATGTTTCAGGCCTCTCTGAGAGAGTGATTCCCTCTCTAAACTCCACAGATTTAATAGTTGTTTGAGGCCCAAAGATGTAAAATTATCCAGAGATGAAGTAATGTACATTTGTGTTGCAGAACTTTATATTGAACTTTATTTTTTCTTCTTTCCTAACCGTCCATCATCTCACAACCTTTCAGATTTATCTTGTGGCCCTTTTAAAGGGGGTCTAACCCCTGGGAACCACTGGACTAACTTACCTAACTGTAGCTGCAGTTAGGTAACAGTAATATTCTACATGTGCACAGGAGCATCACTGTCAACAATCTAAGAATGTCACATATAAAAAGATAGGAGTCGCAGGAGCCATTTTTCTGCAGAACGAGTACTTTTACTTTTGATACTTTAAGTAAATTTTTCTGGTAACAACATTTTGAAAGCAGGGCTTTTACTTGGGATGAAGTTAACTGTTGTCAATGTACTTTTATGTAAGGGTCTGAGTACTTCTTCCACCGCTGCTTCTCCTGGTTTATGACTGTGACTAATTAAAATTCTGTATTTGTCTATTAGGGGATGTGTATATCCAGCCAACTCAAGACACCAAGAATCCTGTCATCTATGGAGTCTTCTCAGTTTCAGGGTGAGTGACTGACAACTTTCTCAAACTCTCTAACTTTCATGCAGTTGGAAGGAAAAGGTATATTTTGGTTTCCTCCTGCAGTTTGTGTTCATTTTCGCTCAGCCTGAAGGTGTCAGCTCTCTCTGATATTGAAATGCTGGGTTGCGTATGGCCTGTCAGATGCAGCCTACAAAGACAAAAGAGGCTGTGAAAGTGGAGCCCATTGGGAGTTGCGCTCCTCTGAGAGACTGACTGAGCCTATAGTTCCTCATAGGTCAGGTTTGATAGCGAGTTGTCATTCAACGCGCAGCATTAAAATTCAAAGGAACCAACCAGACATATAAATTGAGATTCTAACTGCACACAAGCGGGGAGAGGTGCGCAACGAGTCATAATAAACATGTCTTGATTAATGTATTTGAGAAACAAATACTGTTATTGTTTCCATCCTCTCCTTAGGCACGTTTAAACCCATCTGATAAAAACACATGCAGTGCTAATGATAGAGGCCAATGACAGGAGTTACAAACATAGTACACCCACCACACAGCAGCAAGAGCCTGAGCTCCGGCGATTCTCTGCAGTACGTGGGTGTTTGTATGTCAGTGTGTCAGACAGCTTGACTCTAGTTGTGTCGGTTTTAGAGTGTGTTTGTGTGTCATAATGTTTCTGTGCGTTCCTGTAAGAGGCCGGCTGTGTACGTGGGAAGGAAGTACCAACCGCAGAGAACACCCGTAGTAATTATCCCAGGGAGTGAGTTAATCTGTATCCTCTAGCTGCCGTCTCTGTGTGTTCATTTTTTTTTCTCCTACCCTCCTCCAGATCTGTGTTTAAAGGCTCGGCAGTATGCGTCTACTCCATGGCCGACATCCGTATGGTCTTCAATGGGCCTTTTGCCCACAAGGAGGGGCCCAACTACCAGTGGGTGGCATACACTGGGAAGATCCCCTACCCACGCCCTGGCACTGTGAGTTATAAACAATAAGAAATCACAAATACACAACTCATCCCATTACAAAGAGAGTTCACTGTCATCCTTTTTATAAGAACATGTTTTTACTGTGAAAGGATTCTGGTAAATTGCAGGTTTAACAGTTTAATCTCTTTTTTTTTTTTTTTTTTGTCAATAGTGTCCTGGAGGCACTTTCACCCCCAACATGAAATCCACAAAGGATTACCCAGATGAGGTTATCAACTTCATGAGAAACCACCCCACCATGTACAATGCTGTATACCCAGTGCACAAGCGCCCCCTGGTGGTCAGAACCAACGTAGACTATGAGTTCACCACTATTGCAGTGGACCAAGTGGCAGCTGCTGACGGAAGCTACGAGGTGCTCTTCCTGGGTACAGGTCAGTTCTCTCAGGCGTTAACTGACATTATATGACCATTGTGCAGTTTGAAGTTCATTGTCAACTGTAATCGAGGACTGACAGGTTTACACACCAGTTAGGATCCTGTTCTTCTTAATCATAGATCAAAGACATTTTGGGGATTCTCAATTTCCTGCTAAAAGAGATAAGTGGAGCCTGAGTTGGAAGATAAGATCAAAGGTCCATGGCACAAAACATCAAAAGAGCCAGAGTGAAACTTGTTCTCTCTTATGTTTTACAGATCGGGGGTCAGTCCAGAAAGTGATAGTCCTGCCTAGAGACGACTTGCAGACAGAGGAGCTGGTCTTGGAGGAAGTGGAGGTCTTCAAGGTCTGACCTTTTTCTCCGTTTATGGTTATTGTCTTTGTTATCCAAGACAAAAGACTAACACACTCAACATCCATTGTCTGCTCGTTTAAAGCTGTTGTTCACTGTATCACTGCAGGTTCCCACAGCAATTACCACCATGAAGATTTCATCAAAACGGGTACGTTACTTAAGTGGCTTAGATCAAATAGTTAAATTAAGAGATAAATTGTCACACAGAAGTCAGACTTTACACAGAAAACTTGTGTCTGTAGTCATTCATTCAAATAAGACAATTATACAATTTTAAAAAAAATGTTGTAAAGCTTTATTTTACAGTTCCCATAGTTTCCTCAAATTTCTTAAAAAGGAATTGATATATAACTGTAAATTCATAGGAAGGTTCCTATAAAGGACTGGGTAATACGATGCTTATTAAATGGGAAATGGACACAGTGTTGAAATGGTAGATTTACAGTTAATCATTTCGATCCTTTTAAATAAGTTTCTTAGGAACGCAACTGCTTATAAACTCAACACAAGGAGCTAATAACTGTCTCAGAACTTCTCTATGTTCTTTGAAACAGTGCCACATTACATTGTTCCTTTAATTCTTCTAGGAAATCATTAGGAAATTACAGACCGGGGGGAAAAAAAGTGATGCTCAAAATGTTTATATCTGATTATGTTATTTTTTAATCTTTACCTCTGTTTGTTTTAACAGCAACAACTATATGTAGGATCAGTCTTGGGAGTGACCCACCTGGCTCTCCATCGCTGTGATGTGTACGGGGAGGCCTGCGCTGACTGCTGTCTGGCCAGAGACCCGTACTGCGCCTGGGACGGAAAATCCTGCTCCAGATACTCATCCTCACAGAAGAGGTGACGATTAAGATAGTATAGATAGGCATGCTTTGGTACAGTACTTGTCTGTGTATGTGTCTAGAACATTTTCATTTATACTTAGCATGTAGTATTTCTTAAATATGTTGAAGTTAAGCTTTTTATTTTCTACTGTTGATCTGACCTCTCTAGACGTAGCCGTAGGCAGGATGTAAAGTACGGCAACCCAATCCGCCAATGCAGAGGTTACAACTCCAACAGTGAGTATTCTGCTAACTTTCTATTATGCCCATATGGTTCACGCACAATTTGGGAACTAAAAATATGAAATGTATGTGCACTGTTATCTATCTATCTATTTAGTTGCTGTATTTTATATTTGCTCAGGAAAAAAACACAAGATAAATTCTACATAATGTTTTATAGCCAATAAGAATACTCTGGAGACAGTTCAGTATGGAGTGGAGGGCAGCACTACGTTCCTGGAGTGCCAGGCCAGGTCCCCTCATGTGTCTCTCAAGTGGCACCTGCAGAAGGAAAACAGTGACAGGAGAAAAGAGGTGAGCAAAGCTTTCCCTGTATAGCTGTTACTGTTTCTACAGCTGTCTTTATAATAATGTCCCTGGTAAAGGTCTGGGGTCTCATGCGTAAACATGCGTATGCCACTTCCCAAGCAAAGGTTGTGATCTATGAAAAAACAAACTTGACGGGAGAATGTGCGGTCCTGTCCGTAAACTCTGAATCTGCGTACGCACATAAAGAGGAGAAATGAGAAACGGCGACTCACATGGCAGAAGGATGAAACGGTTTGAAATGAATAGGCCTGCTATTGTGTAAAATAAATTGAAATATTACCTCTAAGTATTGTAGGCTTAAAGCCTTTCTGAATAAGTAAACACCCATTAGATTGACTTTCCCTGAAGTGTGCAAAAAACATCATTTAAGATCATTTGCAACGCACAAAAAGATCCAGATTTAGGATCATAAACACAAACGGAGATATCTGTTTCTGCAAAAGAACACCTCAGATATGTTGTACAGTTTAATCTGGAATCATATTAACTAATAGGCTACTTGCGAGCAGTGCAGTTTATTCTCATAAATAAGGTGCACAGGAGGACAAATTACATTTAAACTGATTTGATGCTGTTTTCAATGCGTCAATCAAGGAAATAGGAGTGCATAGTTTAATGTTATCAGATGTTTGTAGCCTTATCGAGCCAAACGTTGTGTGCCAGCGTGTGGATGTGATGCGCTGCTTGTAAAAACACATTATGGAAAAATAAAACTTTTATCGTCATTTACAGCAAGTCATATTTCTTTTAACTCATCAGCAGCCTCGTTAAGTAAGTGGACTGTTTGTGTAGCCTAAATAAATGTTTAAACACAAGTGGAATGCATTTACTCTCTTTTCAAACGGGGTTAATCCAAATAAGTACCTGGGTCATCCTGTCTTGCGTGTGTGTGTCCCCCATCCAGCCAGTGACATCACTAATCAAGAGGGATTCGCCTTCCTGCAGATCCATTATGAAGGGAGTGGAGCTCCGGTGCCCCCTTTCCTCTGGTGTACAAGCGTTGCGTGAAAGTGCATTTTTACCCACCAAACATGCTTCAGCTTCACCAAAAGGAACGTCCGTGTCACACTGTCTCAGAGTTAAATTTCATTTTGTAGCTTTTCTGTCAGAATTTGCCTCCTTTTCTTCATGCAGTCAGTACGTATTAATATAAATGAGCATTTATAGGCAACTATGGGCGTTTGGAGGGTCGGACATGGAGCTCCCTCACATGCGCCACATTTCAAGTTGATTGTGATTTATAAAGGGAACTTGCTTACAAATGTGCTTACGCGTGGTTTTTTTGCCGTACGTTAATTTTGGCTTTTGGCCGCACGTACACTTTTAGTGAGGATTCTATGCACATTCTATGTTTTATAAATGAGACCCCTGGTGTGTATCAGGAGAAGGCAAATGAATGTATGGAGTGTTTAAACTTCACTTTTAACATCTTGTGTAATAATCTTCACTGTCCTTCCTTCCAGATTCGCTCAGAGGGCCGCATCCTAAAAACAGAACAAGGTCTTCTGATCCGCTCACTGCAGTCCTCTGACAGCGGCATCTATCAGTGCACATCCACAGAGAAAAACTTCAAACACACGCTTGTCAAACTGCAGCTTGTGGTCCTTTCCAGTCGCACAGTCAACAACGTTTTGGTGGAAACAGGCAGCCCGGCCCTCCCTCCGCTGCATTCCAGTGCCTGGACTCCGAGCGCTGGACAGTACAAGGACCTGCTGACCATCCTAAGCCAGCCAGAGATGGGCCTGATCAACCAGTACTGCCAGGATTACTGGCAACTTGGAGAAACCAGCGTTGGAGACAACAAAGCCAAAAGCCTGAACGAGCTGAAAGAACAAAAGAAGCCTCGCAATCGTCGGCATCATGACGAGCAAACAACTCCAGCTGAGACATGAGGAGCTTATCATACTCCAACACCCCCACTCTCCCTTTTCACACCACCTCCTAAACACTGCAACCCTCCTTTTCGGGGGATTGACTCCAATTAGAAAAATCTAATTATCATAACAGACAAGACAGCAAAAGCATCAAACAGTTAGTAACTGTTGGGAAAAAATACACAATATTTATTGTAGGTTGTAAAAAGTAATTCTTTGTACCTATCTAGAAAACATGTTTTTTTGTGAATAGGAAAATCTGTGCAAATATTGTTGTTATTGTAATATTATTGTTAGTGTTATTGTTTATTACAACGTGTTATTATGTTGAGAATACATTTATGTTTGGTGTTTTTGAGAAACAGCAACAATAACCCAGGACATTGGGAGTATCCACACATGGACACGGGCCGCTGAACATGTATTCAGAAACTGTTAAACATGTTGGATCACTTGACTGCTGGCAGTATTCAGTGTCTAAGCTGGAAGTCGAGTCGCTGGATCAGTGAAATTCTCAAATTTCCCCGAACTTCTTCACCAGAACTTTGTACTTTATAGCAGCAACATACAAGCTGTTGATGATGCTGATGATAATAATGATGGCATTTCTTGGGACACGCAAGGATTAAAGCAATGCCCGCAGACTGCAGCTCATAAAGGCCCATGTTAATGAAAGGCCCTTTGTGGCAGGTACGTCTCTCCTTTCATGTTGTGGTCCAGCCTGGCCTCAAGTAACGATGTTGTATCACCCGCCCAGATTCTTCCAAAATCAGTTGCTGCCAAGTGTTTGTTTTGTTTATATGTGAATATCACATCTCAGTGTTGTATCCTTAACAAGCGTGATCTTTGTGATAAGTTGTTCTTTTCTTGGGGGGGGGGGGGTCTTTTGAAGACACAAAAGCTGAAAATATAACATTGCCTTCTCTTTTCTCTTTTGAGATAAGAAATTCCAGCAGGCAGCTATATGTGTGTTTGTGACAGTTTGTGATAAAAATATATATATATTAGAGACGAAGCACCTTCTGTTGCCAAATTGGTAAGAAACAGTAAATGCTTCACATGTATCTGTGGCATATGCAGTGTATTCATATAAGGCAGAGCATGCAGTTTGTATGTTCAAAGGTTGTTTTCTTCAGCTCGCAATGAATCCAAAGTTTGCATTCCTGCCAGTTTCATGCGAAATATTGGTTTCACTGAGTGAATATTATACACATAATCAGTCTACATTTCTATTAGATTACAGCCACAAGTGTGCTGATTTGCATTGCTGTGGGAACAGAATACTTTGATTGGTGCTCTATTTACTGTATCAGCTGGTTAAAAACAGAGCTTTCACAGTAAACTTTTTTTGTCAGTGCAGTGCCATCCTGCTATGATACGTGCCACAGACTTCATATAAAACTGTTTGTACTGAGCATCTTCCATACTGTAAAAAATAAAACAAATGCCACTAACAAGCTGATCACCGCCAAACCTGGAGAGAACATGTACCAAAACCTTCAGAAGGTGGCTTTTCATTGTGCATGGCATGTACAGTGTATGTATATGGTATTTGTCTAAAATGCTATGTTGCTGTGGATGTCTGTGAATGTCTTTCTTGTTGTGGGAATATGGAAACCTTTTATGGCGGAAAATGCTGAGAATACAGAAAGGTCAGATTGGGATTTTAAATCCTCTCTCTCTCATGCTCATTCTCTCTGTGTCTCTCTCTCTCTGTCTTTAAGTCTATTCTTTCTTTCTCTTGTTCTCAAATATTTGCAAAACAAATTTGCATATATTTCCAACATGTGCATCTATTTTATTTTCTCTGTTTGGCAGACTTTGCTCTGGGTCATTGAGGTAAAATAATGTATGATATGATGCACAGTTGATGTTATTGTAATGACTTGTAAAAATTACTATCTATCTTTTCTTCCTCATCAATGTTGCTGACTAATAAATTAAAGCTCTATATTTTATAATAACAGGGGTTCTGTTCTGCCATTGGTGAGCACATTGTCTGCAGGGTTTGTTGTGTGATATGTACTGTAATGCAGTGATTTCAGTGCTCCTCATGTTAATGATCCGCAGTGGTGCAGGAAGTATCCAGATCGTTTACTTCATTAAAAGTAAAAATACCACAATGTAAAAATACTCTTTTACTAAATAAGTCCAAGTCCTGCATTGACATTGTAACTATAAGTAAAATTATGTACTTTTTTAAAGTACACAATGCAGAAAAATTGCCCCTGTGAGCGATATACTGTTATACGTCGTGTTAATGTGAAAGAAGCATTTTTGATCAAGGTGAATCTCTTTTTAATAATTTGCTGTTTGCTTGTTTGATCTGAAACATTTTATCTTATTTAACAGTCTAAGCTATGTGTTTTCAGTTTGTAAAGTGACTAGCTGTCAAATAAATCCAGTGGAGTAAGGAGAACAATATTTACCTTTTAAATTTAGTATAGTAGAAGTAGAAAGTGGCATCAAATGTAACTATTCAAGAAAAGTACCTCAAATGTGTACGATACATACAGTTGCATTTTACCACAGCTGACCTGTAGCATTGATTTCCTTGACAGTAGTGACTCAGGAACTTAATCAATGTTGACTCCACAGAAGATCACGATAAAGTAAAATTGATAAGAATAAACTTTATTTAAGGAGCACTTTTCTAAGCAAAACTGCTTTATAACAGACAAACCGAAAAGGAGACAGCAACAGGTTACTGTACATGTAGGTAAATGCAGTGCAATGCTCACACATACTGTTTTTGCATGCCTCCATAATTGAAAGTGAGTAGATTAGGATCCTTAACCGTCTTCAGATTGAGGTCAATGAGATCTGTCAGGTGAAACCGCAAAGCTCTATAAGCACTTCAGAGCTCACCCTTCAGTCTGCAGTATCCTATAAGAAATACAGTTTGTCTAACTTCATGTTTGGACTGTTGGACTGGGAGGTGACGGGTCTGGTTATTTATTTTTGTGACCCATTTGTTGTAATTGTTTTACTGTGTGGAACAGAGACTAGTTCTTTTGTTTTAATCCCTGTAATCAACCTCTTTGCAAACACCATGCATTCAAGACCACTCTTACTCCCCTTCATTTTTATTTTGGTCCTGATGTGAGATGAATCTAGTTTGGGTAACTACCATTCCCGGCAATGGGCCCAAACACTCCAAGCACCAAGTTATTTTAGCTTTACATGCTTCTCTTTTAAAGGCACTTAAGAACAGCAAAGAGAGATAAGCACTTGAGCCGATGTTCATCTTCCGCTGAGCACAGCAAAGTCCCCCTAAAGGTTAGATCACTCCTACACTGATGTATGTCTGCTTCTCCTCACACCTTTCGCTCTGCTCCTAAAACACCCCTGTCCTTGAGCTCCATTGGCCACCCTCGGTCAGGTGGGCAGAGGATGCCCAAAATCCTCTCCTAAGACAGGAAAATACTCAAACATTCTCCAGTGTTTGCTGCAGGCAGTTGACGCATCAGCTGCACAGTTGACGACACCAGTCAGAAAGTAGGCGATCAGCAAGGACCTACTTCCATTTTTCCTGACACTTGGCTTTTAAGCGGAGGGGCCCAAGCCAGGAAAAAGTAGGATGGGGGCTGGAGCGAGCGCCGAGGACAAACACTCCAGAGAGCTGGAGAAGAAGCTGAAGGAGGATGCCGACAAGGATGCAAGAACTGTCAAGCTGCTGCTGCTAGGTAAAGACAGTCAAGCTGGATGCAAATACAGGAAACCTGTATTATTATAAGTTATCAACACAAACAGATCTTTTAAACTATAAGTTTGTTATGGTCTGAATAACCTTTAAATACTTACTTAATTGCCTGTTCATGTACAGTATATGTGATGAATGCTTGAGTCAAGGAAAGGCTTAATAACCCGTGTCATTGAATTGCTAAGACACTTTAATAATCACTCAACCCAATCCCTTGTTAATCCTGAAACAACAAGTCCTCCAACACAAAGGGCTTAACCCTGAAGGACCCTGAGTGTATGGCTGTAGAATTGAAATACTATTGTAAAATAAATCACAGGCACTATTTACTTAGGTGATCAAGGGGGAAAATATTAATATTTAACTTTAATATTGAAAATTAGGTAATTTAGGTTTTTTCATTCAAGGACCAACAAATTCTATAACCTAAAATATTTCTATCGAGTATATGACAATGTTGGATTCAAAAGCATGTCGGGCATATGCTGAATATCTGTCAGGTTGTTACAGATATTTTTTCACACGCAGCTTCATCATCTCCTCATAACAGTGTAGGTCAGGGACAGGAAAAGTTCCCCCTGACATCAGCGTTGAACATGATTACACCTGAAGTAAGAAGTATTATGACCTGTTGGGATCGTCTGATGAATGCCATGGGGTCACCTGCATATAATATCACATCTCCTCTCACATTAATGAAACCCAATACATAAATAAAAGCACAAAAAAATGTATTACGATGAAGTCATATTTCTCCAAAATCATTACAAACTGTGGACATTTTGAAATAAACTTTGGTATAGAAGCTTATTTTTTTATCTGATGCTAATAACTACATTTAATACATTTTTCTTCCTTCATATAGGTGCTGGAGAATCAGGCAAAAGCACTATTGTCAAACAGATGAAGTAAGACTTTTGACACATAAGCAATGTCTTATTTCTTCTCTAATGGACTGTAAATCACATACAAATATTGTATTCTCTCATCAGAATTATCCACAAAGATGGTTACTCACTTGAAGAATGCTTGGAGTTCATTACCATCATCTACAGCAACACCCTGCAGTCCATCATGGCCATTGTGAAGGCCATGAACACACTCAATATAAACTATGGCCACGCTGATCAGCAGGTAACAACAGCTGAGATAGACTTCAATGTGTTTTGCATAAATTGAATTCAAGTTTTCCAGCATAACTTGTATGAGTCCCTGTCCTCTTGCATTTGCTCTGCAGGATGATGCGAGGAAACTCATGCATCTTGCAGACACCATTGAGGAGGGCACCATGCCTAAAGAACTGTCAGACATCATTTTGCGCCTGTGGAAGGACTCTGGCATACAGGCATGCTTTGACAGGGCCTCAGAGTACCAACTCAACGACTCCGCTGGATAGTAAGGAATCATCCAAGCTGAGATTTAAAATTGGCACAAGTTCTCACATTAGCGTTTGTTATTAAATTAATTTGATTTTGCTCTCAGCTACCTGAATGACTTGGAGCGACTGATCCAACCAGGCTACGTGCCCACTGAGCAGGATGTGCTGCGATCAAGAGTGAAGACCACTGGTATCATCGAGACCCAATTTTCCTTCAAAGATCTCCATTTCAGGTGAGTCAGTGCATTGTTTTGCAAGAGGGTAGCACCGAGAACTCATCACCAGTGCTCCCACTGAGCTGGATAGGAATCATAAAGATAACATGCTCCTGTTTCCATGCAGAATGTTTGACGTGGGTGGCCAGAGGTCAGAGAGGAAGAAGTGGATCCATTGTTTCGAAGGTGTGACCTGTATCATCTTCATTGCTGCTTTGAGCGCTTATGACATGGTGTTGGTGGAGGATGATGAAGTGGTATGATAACAGTCATATTTCACACTTGATATTCTACACTATTGGTATCTTTTGTACAGTCAACAGCAGGTGTATTTGAAGGGCTCTTCCTTGGGTAAAACCACAAATTTTAATTTCAGAATCGAATGCACGAAAGTCTGCACTTGTTCAACAGTATCTGCAACCATCGCTACTTCGCCGCCACCTCCATTGTACTCTTCCTCAACAAGAAAGATGTGTTCATTGAGAAGATCAAGAAAGCTCATCTCAGCATGTGCTTCCCTGAATACGATGGTGAGGTCATCACAACACACAAACAGCAGCGCTTTTCACGACTTTAAAAAGTGGCAAACTTATTAAATGTGCCCCTTTATCTCGCTATCTTGTCGTTAAGGCCCCAATACGTACGAGGATGCTGGTAACTACATCAAAATGCAGTTCTTGGACCTGAACATGCGCAGAGACATCAAAGAAGTCTACTCTCACATGACCTGTGCCACAGACACAGAGAACGTCAAGTTTGTGTTTGACGCCGTAACCGATATCATCATCAAAGAAAACCTGAAAGATTGTGGTCTCTTCTAAGAGCCATGCTGAGACACCCAATGAGGGTGAGTGAATTTTGCACAATATCGTAATGATGATTCAGATTCTAACTTTCGGAACAACTAATAAGCGTAAGTGTGACTTTTTTTCTTTTTTTTACAGGGTGATGTTGTAGTCCGTGTAACAATCAACAGACCCTTTCTAAATTCAAACTGAGGACTGAAGATGAAAACAGCCATCCTCAAACGCAAAAAATATATATATAAATCAATTATTTGTGTTTAAAACTACTGTAAGTTGTAGCTTTGACCGAAGACTTCAGGTCAACTGACACCGGAAGAAAGCTCTTCAGTCAGAAAATCCTGTGCAGATTTCAGATGAGTTGAATTTTAGTCAAGCTAACTTTTCTCTTGAGTCTCTTGAACTCATCTATCGAGAGCTATGCAATCTGTAGTTAAGACGTCAAAAGCTTCTGTCAGCATAACGTGATTTCTTCTCACATGTACTAATGTGAATAGATGTCAGGCTAATGCATTGTCTCTATGCTCCAGTAACAGGTCAGTCCACAGCCAAAAAGCAAACAAGAGAGCCTCACCACCTGCAGACGCACTTCAACCTTTGCTAGAGATTTAAAAAGAACTTGCCACTAGAAATGGCTTTAATATGTACAGAAACTCTACAGTGCAGTTTGAGACACAATTCAAACAAGTAAGGAATAGAAATTTTAAGCATTAGGAAATGTAACTCTTTGCAATAGTTGAAAAAGGCCACTGTTTTCTATTGGACAGTTCATGAAGTGTGGTGAGACCGTGTGGATCTGTAACACTGCTGGGTGGTAGATGTAATATACTTAAACCTAAAAATCCTTGTCTAAAAGTTAACTGAATATACGGGCCTTTGAGCCAACTATCCTGTACAGAAACCAACAATTGTAAACCTTTATTAAACCCATTAAAGCTTCTGTAGAAAACTGAGTACTTTTTAATTTTTCACAAATAAAACCCAACACAGCAATGTCTTGTTCATAATCTATTTATTTTATTTCACATAATATTTCAGATTCTTTTTCTAGCATTATGAAACCAATCGGGTTTAGGAATGAACAGCCCTTACCTTTAATTTCAGACAGATTAAACAGATCGACATTTTTGGATATACACTTTGTTGCTTTCTTACTGAGTTGAGATGAGAAGACCGATATTACTTACATGTCTGTACAGTAAAGGTCAGGCTACAGCCACACTGCAAAAACTGAGCTCTCAAAAACAAGGAAAAAAGCATTAAAATGGGGGAAATATTACTTAAAATAAGCAAAATTATCTGCCAACAGAACAAGAATATTTCACTTGCTACTTAAGGACAAAAAAACTTGAAACAGGTGAAATTCTCTAACATAAAAGCTGCCTGGTAAGAATAAATATCATGTTGGACAAAAAGCAAGTATATTTTGCCTTCAATTAAGATAATTAATCTTACCAAGATTTTAGTTTTTGCAGTGCAGCAGCTGGTTACAGCTGTAGCCTAGCCTAAAACAAAGACTGGAAACAGGGGTAAACAGCTAGCCTGGCTCTTTCCAATTACCAAAATCCACCTACTAGCACCTCTATAGCTCACTAATTAACAAGTTATATCTTGTTCGCTTTTGTACAGATTAAACAAAGGAGCTTTAATTGAGCTTCAAAAGGTACTAGTGGATGGATTTTGTTACATTTGGACAGACCCAAGCTAGCTGTTTCCCTTTTCCTGTCTTTGTGCGTAGCTAATCTAACCAGTTGCTAGTGGTAGCTATCTTTAAACAAATTTGGACTATGACATCAATTCCTATCCAGCTAACTTAGATGTGTTTTACTAATTAAAATACCATACTTATGACCCATGCAAGTAGGCAGGAGTGCTGCAGGACTTTATTTATATTATTTATTCATTTCTGAGTGACAAACATTTGTGAAACGTGAAACTATAACTATATATAACTATATCTATCTATCTATATACACACATATATATATATATATATATATATATACACATATACACACACACATCTCTCTATCTATCTCACTATATCTATATCTATCTCTCTCTCTCTGTATCTATGTATATGCTGATCACAATTCACTTTTGTGAAATCAAGTGTGAATCTCTGAGTCTTAGCAAGAAAGTGAAAAAGCGAAAATTCCCAAAATGTCTCACTTTTCCTTTAAAGACAATGTGAGACAAAGTGGTTGAGGTGATGTCAGCCAGTTTGAAAACTTTTTCATTCCTATCATTCCTAGAATATAAACAAATGTCTCCCAAGATGCCAATGTTGTAACATAAGCCTGAAGCTGTGCTGAGCTTTACGGACACTCAGGATGTTTGGTAAGAAATGAACAAGTCCAGAAAATATACCTCAGTAAAGCTGTACATGAATCTAATCTATCTAGTTAAGAAGACATCATACACTTTTTCTGTCTGTGTGGAACAATAATTAATATTCACAGTACAACTGTACTTCAGTTCACTGCGGTTATTCTTTGACCTCAGAAAACCATGTTTTTTAACATTTGTAATATAAATACCCAAGACTTTCCTAAGACATTGTAGGCAACAACATTTCAAGAAAGTTTTATTTTTTTTAATGAAAGCATCCATTGATTTTTGTTCCTTTAAACCCTGAGTTCTCACCACATGACAATTAATAGGTATGATGATGTGCAATGAAGAGAACAGACAAAGAAACAAATTATAACGCCCATCTAAAGAATAAACTGTGTACTAAATACGTCTGACGGAAAAAATGATGGAAAACAAACATGTTTTCACTCATTAATATTAAAAATACATTTTATGGCTTGTTTTCATCATGTCTAAAAAAGGGAGCTTAATGTATCAGTGTAAAACTATACATAAACATGGAATGACAGATATTGTGCAATATCAACGGTGGCCTCCCAAAATACTTGACAATGTCACCCACAGCTAATATCCACTGCACAGCATCCAGAAAGACCAAAAAAATTAAGGCACTTTAAAACAGTATCTGTTAATGTTCAGCCCTTATGTAAAAAGCACTGATTTAGTCAAGTGAGTCAACTGCAAAGAGGCACTAATCATCATGTTTAGAGAGATTTTTTTTTTTTTTTTAAAGAGGCGAGTGTTTTTATAGGCTATACATTATACATGTGGTTAGATGGCACTGTTCCCATAAACACATAATGATTCACAGCTGTAATTTCAAATATGCATCCACACAGACACTCACACAATCACGCACACGATGCATACACACTCAACCTGAACAAACACCTTAACAGACACTTTTTTTGTTGCTCCACAATAGCACACCAGTAATTCTAAAACCACTTACACAATCTCAACTCGTCACCAGCCAAAAAGTAATGAAGCAAGAGTCCTCGTTTTCCTGGAGAAAAGTTGTTCGCCTTTGTCGACTACATGCTCAGAGCGAAAACACACACACAAGCTTTAAAATGAATACAGCAAGTAACCAAGCTGCTTTCTCAGGTTTCCTTTAGTGTCAGTTTTCTGTCTGGATCCTGAGCAGCACAACAGTGGATTATATTAAACCTCACTGCATCTGCACCTGAGGGTGGGTGGGCTGAAGGCCTGTTCGTGCCAATGTCACATCACATGCATCCTCTTACTCAGAAAAGCCCCACCATGTGATCAATCTGCCTCATGTAGACACTCTTCAATGGCAGAGCGTACCGTCGCTCCTCTGGGATCCTGTTGCACTGCAGAATGAGAGAAAAAGAAGTAATTTTATAACAATATAAGTGGCATTAGGACACTGACAACAGTGCAAGGCGAGGACGATGGCCTTACATTGCTGACGTTGCTAGGCGGTGGCCGGTGTTTTGGCTGTCTCTCTGCCAGTACTCCCTCTTCACAAGGAAACAAGTCATTCCACTGTTTCTCCCTGAAGCGATTGTCTATAGGCACAACATGGCCCTCTGTGGTGAAGATGTACTTGTTATCGGATTTGTGAAGTGGGTTGTCCTCATCAAAAAGCTGCAATACAAAAGGGAGATTTTTATGCCACTGCACCGGCGACAGCCACGACCAGAGGCATTATGTTTTGGAGTTGTCCGTCTGTCCATCCCATATCCTTGAGGTAATTTCTTTAAATTTGGCACAAATGTCCACCGTGCGACCCTGTACACAGGATAAGCAGTTGATGATGGATGGATGGATGGACAAATGTCCACTTGAAATCAAGCATGAACTGCTAAGAATTTGGTGGTCGTATGACCTCATTTAACATTTTTGGCCTTAACTCAAGAATTGGTGCTTTAATTAAGACAAAATTTCACACAGATCTTTAATGGGATGCAACAATAAAATTATGAAATTTAGGCCCATAAGGGCCAATGGTCAGCTTCACTGCGACATAATAAATTCTTGGAAAAAAATAGTTTTGTCCATAATTCAACACCATAACTCAAAAAGAAGGGCAGACTGTGACCTGATTTCACAGCTGGTTGGACACTGAATGAGTGATACATTTGACTCAAAGGTCAAAGATCATTTTGACCTCAATATAGGTACACACCATAGGACAACACACTGAGTAAGCAACAACTAGCACAGTACAGGCTTTCCTCCATCTCATCCATTCTGCCTTTTTACTTCTTGCATCATTATGAATTTTGAGCGTCATTGGAATCACATGACTGCAAACAATGTATGTGTTATGTTAAACAATGTATTAGTGCGTGCCGCGCTAATCGTGATCCTGTGAGTTTCACCTACACCTCATAGAGAGGTTTTGCAATGCCATGAGAAAACAAAAGCACCACAGGTTGTGTAGCTATATAAAAGAATCCATCTTTACATAGTACTCAAGTACATGTGCACCTGCTTAGCCAATATATCTATTATAATCCTTCATTAATCAGTTCAACAATGTATATTCACTGGCATCATATATATAATGTGTGTCATCAATATAGTGGTAACTTCCATTTAGCAAAAACTTTATACCTTTTATTCAATTCCTTCAAGTATTCACTACATATATTGAATATGAGTCTGGACAGTCTGGACAAGTGGCATGTAAACTGACTCAGTAGTTGTTTTTACGATAATATGGAGAGAATTGAGCGAGAAGTGGGTATAATTTTATTCTGATAATGGCTGGGTAGCACCAGCTTGTATTATAATCATTTTAACTTATAACTATTATCATATTGCGTTTGCATGTCATGCTATCATATCTATATCTATACACCATAGCTCTATCTATGACATACTCAGGCTGTAACTTACCAGGTAAAGGTATTTGCATGTCTCACTGAGGAAGAAGCTCTCCATGCGATCCTCTTTGGATTTGTCCACAACATGGTGGAGAGTGGCGTACCCACATCTGCAAATGACACAGCTTGGCTCAGTTTAAAAGTACACATATCAAGACATCGTAAAACTCCCCGAAACATGTATAAATTACATGATCCACACCTGACTTTGGCATTTTTCTCAAGGCTCTGAAGAATATCCATTCCAACGTGCAAATAGAAAGGATTTTTGGTCGCCTGTTGGGGAAAAAAATTACTTAAAAGACGTAAAAGAGGACAATCGCATACAACAAACCACCCCCAATGCTGGGTTGCAGCAGGTCAGAACTGTTACCTGGTAGAGCAGATAGGTTGACTCCACCAGCTCTGGTCTTAAGGGATAGAAGAGCACATCAGGAGCCTGCAGCTGCCAGTTGTATCTCTCTGGCAAAGCCCCAAAGCGTTTCCAGATAGCATAGTAGAAGGCGTGCAGGCAAATGGCATTATCTACATCACCATTCAGCACCTAGTGCACAGAGTGGCAACACTTACTCTTCATTGAACACATATTTTACACTTGAAAATATGCTGAAAGTGCATAATCTAACCTGAAGCCCAGGAAAAAAGGCCTGAAGAGAGTCAATCCAGGTGTTCATTATCTCACCGCTGAACATGTTCAC